AATCAGCATATTTTGGGTGACAGTATGCACTGTTGATTGCTCTGAGTAGTTGCAGATCACTCATATCAACCAACAATAATTAGACCAACAAACCAAAACTTGAATACTAATGTGATGCTCACTGGCGACTAGCCCTATTCAGGTAGGTAGTTACCTGGGTTCCAGTGGGAAGTCGTGACCAGTAGGGTGCAGCAGGTCGGGTGTCAGGACAAATACTCGCCGAATACATTGGCTAGCGGTTGCGCTATATCGTGAATCGGCAGAAGTTAGAATTCATGAGCTAGTCATTGGATCGGGTCCCAGTGGCTTAATGGTCTACGAGCTCGCTGGCCTTGTAACCAGAAGGTCCTGGATTCGAACCATGGCGGTGGGTGCGTACTGATGAAGAGTCCCAAACTATGACGAAACAGCTGTTCAGTACTCCCAGGTTTTCTAGTGGTTCTCTAACCAATGTCAGCTCATGATGAAATCTAGTAACCAATAATTAGATAACTTTAACCAAACTAATAGGCACTAATGATAGATGCTAGGGATTTTCAACTATATAACGTCATGTAATTCAAACAGATACATTATTCTAAGAGAATAAATTACAATTATTATTACTCTTATTATTATTATTTAAAGTGAATAAAGTAGTTTGTCTATGTACTCCATATACAATAGCTCCCACTGGTGTAATCCGAAGATATGAGAAATGAAGAATATTCAAATAACCAAGCATTAGTGCACAAAATTTTCTAAAACGACACTGATATGCATGCAAGGGAATAATGGTTCGGAAAATCCTCCCTAAAAAATCCAATCTCATACTCATTGTAATCATCTGGACGTTCCATCTAACTTGTAATTACTATTCCCCTTACGTAATTCTTGTGATATTCTCATATCATCACGTGTTGATACGTTCCTTATTGTTTATCCTTGACTCTGTTTCATGTCGAGTTATACTGCTTGTCTTTGTGTTTGTGCGATACATGGATAATGTGTTGTTTTTCGATGTGATTTTTGTTTTTGTGAATTGAAGTTATATTGGAGTTGGACTGTGCTGTGGGAATTGTTTATATGTGACTCTTGTGATTAGAGACTTCGATCCCACGTCATGTGGAATATTATATTCGATTCTATGGTGCTTCTCACAGTTGAATATTTAGCACACTATTTTCGTTCTTAAGTACTTGTTTTGTATTCGAAATTTCCTTTGACTGTTTAGCAGCCCAATGGTAGTGTTGAGGACCATAGATTTTAACTACGAGTATCCGTCTTTTTAGTGCCTTTGGCGCGTTTTGTGGCTTTGCATGTCCCAAAGAAGTTTTGGAAAGCTATTTAGTAGGATGCAGAGGCTGGTTTTCTGCAATCAGACCACAACTAGTTGATTTAGACCGTTGCAATGCATACCTGCAGTCGAAGTTGTAAAAAGTCAGTTTCCGGTTAAAGCAGTGGAATAACTGTGGAAATTGTAATCACTGAATTATTCGACAGAGATTGTAATCGAAATCAGCAGTAGTTTTCCGTGTAATTGAAGTAGAAAAAAAACGATAGGAAAATTGCATAGTGCATGTTTCGCTTCCTGAGAAGTAGGAGACCCTTAAGTTTGCCTCAGTTAAATTACAAAGAACCTGTACACTGTGATTATTTACAGTTAAAACTATTATCATCATGACAGAAAGCAATATTTCTTATTTTACAACAAAGATAGGTGAATAATCACTCATTTTTAATTGCAGCTTATAGTTATTCGCTCAAAATCACATTTAGGATCAAATTACTAGTAGTTAGACGGTGAGAATATCTTGGAGACTTACAAAATTGAAAAAAAAAAATACAATTTAAGAAGTAATAATTATCCGGTATATATTTTATCCCCTTACAACATATTGTTCCATTTTAGTTTACACTAACGCATCATTAAATCCAAAAGATGTTCTCTTCGTATGTCATCAATCATAATGTCAAACTTGTTATACAGCACACCTTTTTTGACTTATAAAATTTATAAACAGATGATGCGTCGGTGGCACAGTGGTTAGGACTCTCGCCGACCATGCACATGGTCCGGGGTTCGAGCCCACGCCGGCGCACACCTGATATCTATGGTCGGCCTGCAAAATTTGGGCTACCGATATCCATGCTGAAAATTCCATACTTGTACCAAAAATGCAGTGTGGAATCAAGCTGTAAATAAAAAAAAAAATAAAAAATAAAAAAAAATGTATTGCATTATTCTGAGTATTAGGTGTGTTGACTACAGCCATGTAGCACGTTCTATATATACCACTGAAACTATTCATCACTGTCATCTTATTAATGTAAAAATAAATAAGCAAGTATTTAATAAATTTCTTTATAAATCTTAAATGTAAATAAACAAGGAAATTAGAGCTGCGAATTTATTCCCAGTTTTGTGTAAGATATTCAGATATTTACATATTCAAGTCAACACTGTGATTGCAGTACTCTTGTAAACCGTCTAATAAATATCACAACACTCAATGACAAATTTTTCTTTAGGAGATTGTTTGACGTACTGATTTATCTGACATTATTAAAGCCGACAGTTATGGAATCAGCTGAAACTAATGATACAGAAACCAAGTGCATTGGAGATTTACCGTCGAATTCCCGTGTTTCACTCCGAACATAAGGAATGAATAAGAAAAATAATAAAACTGATCCAGTACCCTTACTAATCACTCCAAACTGGCATAATCCATCTAGATTTAAGGTCTCCAGTTATGTGGCTGTTCGCTTTTCAGATATCTTGAAATTATGCCTAATGAGAAACGATGAATGGTTTTTTCCGGGTGTGACATGGAGATAGAGTGAGGAGGAGATGGGAGATTATGGGCAATCATGGACCAACCTAAAGAAGACAGAAGAACATAAAACAAAGTGGAGGTGTGTTGGTGAAGCTCAGTGTTCCATTTGGAACCCAAGCGAATAATAATAATAATAATAACAGGCACAACAAAAGAGGATAACGAATTTGAAAAATTTATCCGAGAACAACAGTTGTACAAATTATCTTGCAGTATCATACAGATTTTCAGACGCATTTCTACTGAATATTACACCGAATAAAATTAACAAATACAAATTAACCGGAGTAATTTAACCTTAAAAACATGATCAAAACAGTCTCATAGAATAACAGTAAAATAACTAGACCAATTTCAATAAATTAAAATTGAAGTCCATTCAGTCAAATTGATAGATGCTCTCAGTAATGACACAAGAGAATTTGCCTTACCTGTTAACAATAAGCTGGTTAAGAATAAACAATGAGAGGAAAATCCATTTTCACCAAAAAATTTAATAACGAACTCTCATGAAAACTATGTGATCTCCACCAGTATTTTAACTACTAATCAACGTAGATGCCCAGCTGGTTGCTTTGGTTACTTGTGGCCCACCTAAATCATTAAACTGAATCTTATTTAATCTATTTTATGTTCTTTCAATTATCTGATTGTGTATTTGATTTGGAATCTGTATTTAGGCCTGTTCTTAGATAGGTTTCAACGTACTGCTATGGAGTTTCAGAAGGAAGTGGAAAAAAAATATTTTAGCCTATTAGAGCTTCATTTGAATACAAAAAACTATGTATAAAACGATACATTGACTTATTTGGATATTATGCGCAGGCTGTAAATGCTTTGCATTAGAACACACTGAGAATTCTCTAATGTTCAAGTATTGGTTTTGTAGGGATTTTGTTTGATTGCATGGAGGATTTAATCATGAGCTGACATCAGTTAGAGAACCACTGGAAAACCTGGGAGTACTGGACAGCTGTTTCGTCCTAGCTTGGGACTCTTCAGCAGTACGCATCCACCGCCAGGGTTCGAATCCAGGACCTTCTCGTTACAAGGCCAGCGAGCTCGTAGACCATTTAGCCACTGGGACTCTAACTGATGTCAGCTCATGATTAAATCCTCCATGCAATTCTCCAATGTTTATTAAAGTACTATCATTATTAATATAAAGCGTGTTAGCAATAGGGTGTCAAGAGTGACAATAGAGATTTTCATGGAGGTACAGAAAATTCACTTAGCAAAAATTAAAAAAGCCGGTCACCAAAATCTTGCTGTCTGTTTGCTTCACAAACTGTCTGTGACAGCGGCTTTTAATGGATAGATGATCTAAGATTCAGCCCATATTTAGTGCTCCTCATTTTGTTAAATGAAGTAATATTGGATCCTGACGATAAAATAAATTATACATAAAAATACGATTGAGTCTGAATCATATTTTGTAAGAGGTTGATGGGGTTCAAATTTTGGGCTTAATAAATTCAGCTGCAATTTAGTTAGTAAATTAATAAAGTTATGATCAAATCTACAAAAGTTTATGCATGTGTATTCATATGAATAAAACAACTGCTTTACAGCGTGACATCAGTTGTTAACACACTACGCATATCCATGTTAGATAGGATTCAATGAGATAACTTCTGTCCTGGTGTGTACTATCAACAACAATTTACAAGCAGTTTATTGTATACAATATCTTCTCCACAAATCTGTGGTAGTGGAGAGAAGTATTAAGTTACCGAGGAAAGAAATTCACTATCCTCTTTTAACATTAAACGGAGCACGAAAAGGAGGCTAAAGAACTATAATACGAGGAATATAGGCAAATGGGGATCTCGATGTAGGGTTTATGTATATCACTATAACTATACATCACCTTACCAAATAAACATTTTTTGATACCAAGTACTGTTGTGTTCTTCCGTTACACTAATACTACACTATTATAAACTATCTATGCATCAGCTATAACAGAAGCTGTAAATTTTGCATGAAGTATTGTACTAATAGATGTCACACAAGTAGTTTTTTGACTGTACACAGAAATGTTCTTCACTTACCATACTTTTATGATGAACTTCTATTAGTTTTAGCTTATATGGTACATACGTGCTTTCCCACTGATCTCATCATGTATTCTGCCTGCCGTATTCCTATTCAATATGACAGATAATAAACACAGAATAAATGATTCTTAAAAGTTCAAACGACCAACAGAAAGTAAAAACGGTGAAATATTGTCTGGAGTGCTTAGCAGCATCAGTAATGCTGTGGTCTGTCCTAAGAAAAGCGAATTTATTCATTGATAACTGTATGACTAAAAGCTTATCAACTGAGAATTCTCAACCATTTTTGTAAGTTTTAAGAAGTACTAAATTCAGATTTTATAGCTAACGAGACTATAAATGGTGTAACACCACTGATGAAGAAAAATTCAGCGTCAGTTTTATTATCATACACCACATAAAAGTCAATCTACAGTGAATTTATTTCACAGTCAGGTGATGGGGAAAAGTTTACCTCTTTATTGAATTATCGGATTTTTATCATGAGCCGACGGCGTAAAAACTAAGAAGTACCTGACAGCCTTTCCCTGTTAGTTTAGGACTCTTCATCAGTGTGCACTCACCTGCTGGGATTCAAACCCAGCACCTCACCGCCATGACACAAGCTAGTAAATCATTCATCCACTAGGATTCGACGCAACGGTATATGAACTTCAACTTCTATCACTTCACGATTTGGTGCGACCACTAGCTAGTGTCATCGACGAGTCTTTGTTCTCGCACCAGACCTGCACTCCCTGTTCTATAATGGATTTATTTATGAGAACACTGAAACACTGTTATTTTCCCATTGCTGCTGCAAGTATTGTCCTCTTTCAGTGATCGTGCTATATGAAATTGTTTCATTTTCTGCTATATCATATAAACAGTCTTGATATAGGAAAATTTATTTCTACCTTCGATCTAAATTATTAAGTTAAATTTATTATTTGAGTAATGTTTACGATGATTGTTCATTTTTTATGTCATCAAGTAGTTAATTAATCTACTCAAAAACGTTTTTCTATAGCTGGTTTGTAAGGGTTAGTTATGTTCTTACGAGTTGATCACGGATTGATATCAGTTAGAGAACCATTGAAAACCAGGGAGTACTGGACAGCTGCTGTTTCATCCTAGTTTGGGAATCATCGCCAGTACGCACCCACCAACAAGGTTCGAACCGAGGACCTTCCGGTTACAAGGCAAGCTGGCTCGTATGCCATTCAGCCACTGGGACCCGATTCAATGGCCAATGCATGAATTCTAACTTCTACCAATTCGTGATTTAGCGCGACTAAAAAAAATTAGCATATGATATACATGAAAGATTTTAAAATTTAAAATCCAATGAAATGCTTGTTTATTTGAAATGATCATCGGGGTACAATATGTTGTTCCCAAGCCAGTGTTGTTTTTCGTTTTCTACAGTGCAAGATATCTAGTCAAATTCAATGCAATTTAAAGCCAATATTAAATCTAATTTCACTTTAGTAGAACTAAGAATAATGCGAAGAATGCTCACCTGAATTCGTAGCCAGAATAAGCAAGACTAGAACAACGGCCGCGCGCACACACACATACACACACACGTAAGCTGTTGTGTAATGTTAAGCAGTTGATTAGTTTACACCAAACGCATAAATCAAAAAATTCAATTAGGCAGCTTAACCAGACCAATAAGAAAGTTTGTATTTTAGTACACTTTGTTTAGCCTGCCTTATAGGTAGGTAATTTCGATTATCTAAACTTCACAGGCTTTGTAGGCTTATTCATTTATTAACTAAGAACTATGATTGCGTCATAAAGCTGTGGGTTTATCCAACAACAAATATTTGTTATACTGGTAGAAAAAAGTATGTCGGCGTCAATCAATAAACATATGTATTTCTCCGCCATTTTATTCCGCTGTTTCACACGGTTTAAACAAATGTAAGTGGAAAAGATGAATGAAGTGATATGTAACTACAGTATGTCAGCATATTGCCAGGAGCCGAAGGTTTCTAACAAAGATACACAAAAAAGGAAATGACGTGAAACCACTACTACTACTTGCCCTCGAGAACTGAAATATTCTCTTGCTTTTCTGGATATCACTAGCATTGAATATAATCCACTGTAGTTTACAAAACAAGCTGAAAATATTCCTTGCTGTAACTTCCCAGAAATGAATTTGATTATTGTATAAATTTGTCACTTACAATTTTGACTATATCTGGAATTATCTATAGTTTACTATGACAGGTGGAAGCTTATTGAATTCAGCAAGGAGAAAAATTTACCTTAGCATGCCTGGAATATGTGATAATATTTTTATGTTTCAGATAAATGATTGATTAAACACCAATATATTAGGAGTGTGTGTTTCACATTCACTCAGTGGATATCTTGTATCACGTGGATGATATAGATGAACTGTAGAACTAGTCAAAAGAATATAAGGAATTTAGTGAGTCTGCATCATCACAATTTATGGGTGACGTACATCGTGGATTTAGTCATTACTGAATGAAGTGGTAATCTGCTGATGCAATATCCCATTGCACTGATATACATCACAAATTTAGTTCTTTGGTAGATTAGACTTAGTTCATCCAAAATACTGACTATAAACTAAAATCCCTAGTGTATATTAGAAATTCAAACATTAGTAATCCTTTCTGGCGTCATCTACGGGCAAATTTTGAGGGTCATCATAACGCGTAGTTAAACAGATAAACTTTGTGTACGGATAAAAGTAAGGTGTTTATTTCGATCAGTATATTATTTAGATAATTTAATTCACATTATATTGTCTGTCATATTTTCGCTGTCGCATATCCAGTGGAATGCGGAAATTATGCCTAATATGTGCAACTTCATCTCGCAAAATAACGGATAAACTTACCTGATAAGATTCATCATTTGGTTCTCCAGGATATTAAGTTACTGTGGGAGGATTTTAGGTCATTGAAAGCGACGAAAGTTTTCCCAACCTAAAATATTTCCATAACATTGACGAGTGTTTTATAAACTCACACTTCAGAATCAACCTATGACAATCTGAAACACATTCTTGATCTTTTTTTTAGGAAGATTTCTGCTCATGTAAGTATTAGTGTTGTTTATAAAGTATATTTTAAGCGATAAATGCATTTCTTGTAAATTCCTAAGTGCTTTGACAAGACCGCGAAAATAAACAAAAATTAATACTGCGATAAAACAACAAAATGATTCCTTATTAATTTGTTTCAAATTTGGAAAGAAATGTTGCCCTCAATGTCATGGTTTATAGTCTTAGACAATTAAGGAATGACTGTTTAAAGTAGTGATCAACCTTTAGTGTTGCCAGTACGTCTGGATTAGTACTGTTCTCAATCTATAAATCATAATTGCTTGTATTAGCTGAGTGCATTTAAAAACTCAGTTTTTCTAGATTTTCAGCTTCAGAAAACTCTAAAATATACCGTATCTATGAGCAGAAGACATTGGCAGTCATGACCGAAAGACGACCTCTCTCCTCCTGGTCTCCTATGAACATTCAGATATAAACTTCAGTAACTTCAGGTACATTTATTTACTGAATGGTAAGACACCTTTAAAGTTTAGAGGACAAACTGTTTTATTTTATTTTATAGAATTTACTTCTTTGATTAAAAAAACAGTTCAGTAATTTTATTTAAAAAGTAATGAACTAGAAAACAAGTGTTGCCTTTCACCAAAGTAAATGGCTTCACTATATAAGATGCGTATCTGTTCATCTCCTCAAGCTTAAAAACACAGTGTGAATTAATTGGAAAGTTTTTCTGCGTTTCTATTGTGTTACTGTTACTTTTACGAGGTTACTTTGAAGCAAAATAGGAATTAAATAAACTAAAGTTGGCGAAAGCACTTTTATTTTACGAAATTTGTTTTCAGCGCTAACTGCTGATGCTTTCACGATAGGGTATTGACATTTTCTAGTAAATTTTAACTGTTTTCATTACTATGTCGAAGGGTGTAATAAGCACTAAGTGACAATAATTAAAGGTTTTCCCGCGGATCATAATTTTAGACTGATTCTTAATAGTTATGCTGTCCAGCTTTGCATAGATTTCGATAAGTAAGCTACAGGCGTAAACCAACAAGTTGGCAGAAGTAGTAGAGAAGACAGAATTCAAAGTGAACACAGAAAAGAGATGGAGGTGACAACGGTGTTTAACCAACAGCAGCAAGTAACAGTGGGCATCAACGGGAGGAATTTGGAAGAAGTCGCCTCTTTCATTTATCTAGTCAACATTGTTACAACTACAGGTGACACGGATGAGGATGTCAAAATTAGCTAGGATGAGACTGAGAAGACAGTTTAGGCTTTTAATTAGTCTGAGATTATTTTGAAGATTTATAGCACTCAGAACAAGGGAAAAGATTAGGATTTTCAGCAAGAATGTCACTTCAGTTCTTTTTTGCTTCAGAAATTTTGGAGCACGCATCGTTATAAGCACTTCTAACAGGCTGACGCAGATTTCTATTAACACCTTCCCTCGATGGCCTGATACTGAAGATCTGATGGCCGATCGGAAACGCATCAGCAACAAAAAGGTCATTTAGCGTAGCCAACCAACGAACTACTTATCACACAACAGATATGCACAGTGAAATGGGGATGAATTCCATATACTCTGAGGAGTCCATGTCGTTCCTTGTGTGCAGCCCTACTGAGAATTGTCTAGTTGAGTGCCCCAGAGTAATATGAAGATCATGTGAAGAAGAAGTAATGTCATATTTTTCAATATTAGAGATAGTTGAAAGTGTCAGAAGAAAATCTAGTGGAATGAGGTTGTGGCACTTAGGTCCTCTATTCCTTTCTCAAAGCAAGAAATGAATAATAATAATGACAACAACATAATTAGGGCATATGAAAAAATTGACATTATACATTTTCCATCCTATGAAATCACTGTTCAGATAAAAATGTATACAAGCATAACTTTAATCACTAAGTGTCTTTAACTTGAGAATATTTTAAAACCAATGCAAGCATGACTGTATTCGACACCTAAGTCAGGACCTACTTAGAGGAATTATACTAAAAAATATTTACAAGAAAATCTGCTTCATAAGCTTACCAAGAATTTAGAGAATCATTTGGTAGAATGAGAACTTCACTGAGTATTTCTTACGTTATATTAGGTTTAAATTAATAAAAAGATACTTAGCTAGTTGCCCAAAGCTTGGAACGGCAGTCACCTCTCCATCTCAATTTCATCGACTTTGAAAAGGCATTCGATGGTGCAGCGTCGATCGAATGGTCATTTGGCAACTACTTCGCTACTACGAGATGCCATCGACAATTATACATCTCATCCAACAGCTTTTCGACAATACTGCATGCCAAGTAATCCACAACGCGAAACTTACGGAATCCTTCGAAGTGAGGGCGGGAGTGAGGCAAGCTGGCTGTCTACTATCGCCAATCATCTTCCTGATTGCAGTAGATTGGATAATGTGACAAACAGTTAGTGGGAAACGAGGAAACAGGCATAAAATGGACTCACACAAAAACAAAATTGGAGGATCTGGACTTCGCCGATGATGACATATGTCTGATTTCCCACAAACTGGAAGATATGCAAGTGAAAAGCAACAAGCTGTCAGAAGAAGCATCCCGAGAATATAGGACTTCAGGTGAACATAGAGAAAACAGAGGTGATGAAGATTCCTGGCCAACACCAACACCAACAACAACAGACAACAATCAGCCAGCATAAATGGGAGGAACCTGAAAGAAACAACCTCCTTCACCTACCTACCTACCTACCTACCTAGCTAGCTACCTACCTGCCTACCTACCTACCTACCTACCTGCCTACCTGCCTACCTGGGAAGCATCGTCTCAACTACAGGCCAACGGAACTGACGAGGATATCAAAGAGGCGAGGATCGGAAAAGCAAGACAAGCTTTCATTACTCACGTCAAGTCTGTGTGGAGGTCAACAGCACTCAGCGTAAACATGAAAAATAAGATCTGGATTTTCAACTTCAGTGTGAGGTCAGTCAGTGCTACTATACGGATGGATGAGAGACTTGGCCAGCGCGTCACAAAGAGCATCTCAAACAAACTTCAGACCTTCATTAGCAGTTGTCTTCGCTCAACACTACTCAAGATCAGATGGCCGGCCAGAAAGGACCAGAAACACGGATCTCTGGCAGTGAGCGAACCAACCCTGCAGGAACCGATTGTGAAACAAATCTCCAGGAAGAAATGGAGATGGAGATGATTGAGAAGATTTGTAGCTCAGGTGGATGATTTTGATGTGGTTTTGTTCTCTGAGCTGGATGGTTAGTTTGCGAAGCTTTCATCACCTTACTGGGTGACATCTTCAGCGCATACTTCAATTTGAAGTGAGCTTTTAGATTTCTCCACGAGTTTATTAATCATCTCTCCTGGTGACCTTGGACGTGATTGGTTGTTTATGTGTGTTTTCACACCTTCTAGGTTACTTGTATTGGAACTGATTGTTTCTTTGACTTGAACTTTGGCCCTTTGTGTGTGAAGTTTCTTTCTTATTGGTTGATAAATTTTGTCTATCTCGATGTGTCTATTGATTGATGATTCACTGGAATGCCAAGCTTCTAAAAATTCTCTAGCATTCTTGTTATTTCCTTTGTCTAATATTTGAACGTTGTCCCAGTCGAATTGATGTCCGTGGTTGTCTGTGTGTAGTGAAATGAGGGAGTGTATATCATGTCTTTTGACGGCTAGCTTATGTTCGTGGATACGAAGACGAAGGGGACGTCCACTTTGGCCAATGTAGTGTTTTTCGCAGTTGTTACAGTTTATTTTGTAGATGATGTTGGTTTTGTCTTCTTTCGCTGTTGAGTCTTTTGGTTGACATAGAATTGAGTGAAGCGACTTTGTTGGTTTGTGTACGACGTCAATTCCTAAAGGTTTGAAGAGTCTTGTAGTGATTTCTGAGATATCCTTTATATATGGTAAGGCGATTTTCTTTGTGTTTTCCTTGGTGGCTTTTGTTTTGGTAGGTTGGCTTGGGGGTATATGTCTCTTGATGAAATTCCGTGGATATCCATTCTTTTGGAAGACGTCCATGAGATACTTTTCTTCAATTTTTCTTAAGGTGGGAGTGCTGCAGTGAGTCCTTGCTCTCTTGAATAGTGTTTGTATGCAATTCCTTTTGTGTGTTATTGGGTTGTTGCTGTTGTAATTCAGTATTTGGTCTGTGTGAGTTGATTTCCTATAAACTTGAGTTTCTAATTCTCCTGTAGTTGTTCGCCTGACTAAGACGTCCAAAAATGGTATTTTGTTCTCGGATTCCTCTTCTCTTGTGAATTTGATGTCGTTGAAGACGTTGTTTATTAAGTTGTGAGTTTTATCTAATTCGTTTCTTTTGATGATTACAAATGTGTCGTCGACGTAGCGTATCCAAATCTTGGGTTTGATCTTTGGTAGAATTATGTTTTCGAGTCTTTGCATCACTGCTTCTGCAATCAAACCTGATATTGGCGATCCCATGGGTGTTCCTTTGACTTGTTCATATATTTGGCCGTTGAATTGGAAGTATGTTGTTAGGCATAGATTTATGCATTCCATCCAGCTTGTGTGTTGCATTTTTGATTGTTGTGGCAGTTGTTCGTCGTTGCTAAGTAATTGCTCCATGGTTTCTTTTGCTAGTTTTTGTCCGATGGAGGTATATAATGCTGTCACGTCGAAGGATACCATTATTTCTTGTTCATCTATTTGGATGCCTCTGATTTTCTCTAGGAATTGGATAGCAGAGTTGATGGAGTGATCACAAGATTCCGTTAGGTGTTTTAGTTTTCTGTATAATTCTTTGGATAAATTATATGTTGGAGTTCCTGGGAGTGATACAATTGGTCGTAACGGGATATTTGCCTTGTGTATTTTGGGTCTGCCGTAGAATCGAGGTAGGACTGGTCCATTGGATTTCATTCGCCATTGGTCTTGTTTTGTGATCTGTCCAGTTTTGGTGAGCTTGTTTAAGGTCCTTTGGATGCGGTTATCCAATGTTTGTATGGGATTTGTTGGGAGTTGTTGATATACATCTTCATCTTTGAGTAGTTCTTCAGCTTTCTTGGTGTATTCTTCTCTGTCCATGACTACTGTTGTTCTTCCTTTGTCGGCTGGTAAAATGACGATGTCCTTCCTATTTTTCAGCTTTTTGAGGGCCTTTAGTTCTTGAGAGTTGAGTTGTGTGTGTTGTCTTTTCTGTTTGACCATTGGTACAATTGTTTGGCGTATCTCTTCCTGTGTTTCCTCGTTCAAGTTTGATGATTTGAGTAATGATTCAAGGCAGCGAAGAAATCAGTTTTTGAAGCATCTCCGGTGTTGTAGTTTAATCCTTTTTGTAGTAGTTGTTGTTCCATTTTTGATAGTGGTTGTTTTGATAGGTTGACTACGCAGTCTATGGGCGTATTGTCTGGTTGTTGTTTTCTAATCTTGGCTAGCTTGGTTTTGAGGACTCTTCGTCTTTGTTCTCTGTGTTTTCCACTTGACAGTGTAATTGCGGTGATCAGCGTTGACAGGTGTTCCTGGTTGAGGGTTTTCTCTAATTTTGCTTTTTGGACATCTATTATTTGTTGATATTTGTTGATCCGATAATGTGCATCTGTAATCATTAATTTGACCATTCGTCTTCCACATTGTTCGGCCAATTTCCATCCCATTGGGCAGTTGACTGGTGGTTTGTATCTTACACTGTTTGGTAGGATTGAATGACGAAGGCACTCATGGAGAAAGAATAATTGTTCTCTGGTGGATCCTTGCCTTTTGGCGAAGTCTTCCCACTTTCGAACAGAGAGAAGCGTATCCCGCTCGTAAGATTTAGATATCATATCTAAAAAAAGATGTAAAAATGCATCAAAGCTATTGACATTACCAAGTTGCTCAGTTTAATGTTAATGCACACGAGGCGATTTGGACACGAAATCCATTAACAGAAAGCAGAGGTCTCAAGTCAGTCACGCATCTCAGTGTGGAAATGGATATCAATGAAAACACTATTGGTCTTTAAGACAATTAAAACAGAAGAAATGTTGGCATGTGACAAAATAATTTCTCAAATATTTTACTGCTTCAAAGTGATAATAACTTTTAATCAAAATAAAACTATAGAATAAGAGAAAATACCATTTTTATCCTACTTTAGTTAAGTTTCATATAACATTATTATTATTGTTCCCTTGGGTTCTTAGTGGAACATAGGGCTTCAGTTGCACATCTCCACTTGCTTCTATCTTCTGCTGTACTTTTCACCTGCATCCATGTAAGTCCATACTCTTTCAACTCCTCATTACACGATCTCCTCCATGTCACCCTTGCACTGACGTCCCACTCGCTACTTCCCTTTCGGCCTGGTTCCACTCGAGCAATGGCCTGACGCGCGATGTCACCAACCAGCCTTCTCAGCCACGAGTGGCCATTCCATCACCATCCACTTTCTCCTGCATATTTGTTAGTTGGCGATCGGTTCTTGTTTCGTTTGTTTGTGCCAATAGTTTCTTGTTGTTGGTGATTCTTTCCGACCCGGCCATCTAATTGCTCTTCAGTATATAGCCAGCGAAGACAGTTGTTGGTTGATAAAGGTCTGGTCTGCAACAGGCTGTTGGAAATATTCTTTGTGACCCGCCCGCCAAGTTTCTGACCCGTATAGAAGAGCTGACTGACTTGACGTTTGTGTTGAAAATCCTACCGAATTTTGTTGTTGATGCTGAGTGACAGTGGAAGATTTCCAGATTGGTTTCAGGTTGGTTGATGAATGCGTTTCTCGCCTTCCTGATTCTCGCTCGATTTGACATCCTCGTCCGTTCGAACTGCCTGTAATTGAGACAATGCTCCCTAGATAAGTGAGTGAATGAAGTAACCTCTTTTAAATCCCTCATATAACATTATTTACTATTATTTCACCCCATTGCATTCTAAGTGGGACTTCGAACTTCAAGTCTTGAGCTTCAAAATTTCCGTCATGATGGCGTTGTGTTTTACGAAATGAAGTGGACAGCTCCGCGTCCACTCCACCCTTCTGTCAGCCACAGTGACTTTCCATAAGATATTTTACGCAAACAAATTGAACAGCTCTTTGATATTTTCCCAATATCAACATAAATTTTAGGCCACCAGCAGGTTAAGCGGGCAAATAAACTCATCTTCTTATCTTCCAGATAAGAATAATACACCTAACCTTATATTTCGGATTTCAACGTCTCAGGAATAACAGTTCTATTCTTCAAACATACGAATCCTCCAGAATATACTGAAATTTCATCTATTCACTTACAGAATTTAGGAAATATCTTATAATGAGCATTTTCACCTTCTTATGTCTCATTGATGATGTTTCTAGAGAATTTTTGAGTGTTATTATTTTTATTTTGTCGATAGGAAATGGTTTAACCAAGAAACAGTCAGTATCAACTTATGAACTTTCAAACGACGGGTGGCGCGGTAAGAAAGATGGACTAAGTGTAAAGGGAAGGTTGTTTAAAAAATCCCTTCTGGATGATTTAATAGCAATATTTATATTTATTTGGATGTTCCAACTAACTTTGTATTTATCACCCATTTTTTCGCTAGACTGTAAATTACTGTCCTGGCATTTGTTTATCACATGTTGACTTGATCCTCATTATTTATGTTTGTCCCTGTTTAGTGTCTAATTTTAATTCCTCTCTTTGTGGTTGTTCAGTATACTGATAATGTGTTGCTTTGTGATGTGACTTCGTTTGAGTGAATGAAGGTTATGCTGATGTTGGACTGTCTGTGGGAATTGTTGGTATATGATTCTTGTGGACAGAGTTCTACTTGATTCTAAGGTTCTTCTCTCAGGTGAATTTTCAGTTCACTAATTTTGTTCTTAAGTACATTTTTTGTACTTAGAGGATCGCCTTGTCTGGATAGCTGTCAAACAGAACTGTTGAAGTAATTTTGAGTTTTTGATGTTAATATCATGGGATACGGCCACTGATTTATCAAAGAATAATCATCTTTTTGCTGTGTTCTGAGCACTTTGTGACTGCATATGGCTGCAAGAACTTTTGTCAGCCAGACAGTAGAACTCAGAGGTTGGTTTCATGTGCTCAGGTCACAACGAGTCGGTTTTTGTCGCAGCATTAAGTATATCTTTCTGCTGTCTGCATTAACTAGTATGCACTATTCTAAACAATGTCGGAAGATGATGACCTCTTCATTTATATTCTGTAAGGTGAAAGAATTTTAAAACTTGATGCTCAATGGCAGTCTGAAAATCTTTTACTGAAACGATGCTTGTATAGACCTTTTATAGGCAAAACAATCGATAACGCTTCTTTCCATGCTTACAAGGTTGCTTCTGTTTTACTTAAGCTTCATGAAATAAAAATAATTAGGTGTAAAGTTTACTGTATAATGTTGTTGTTATATCCATGACAGAAATATCTGTAGTAAGAACATATTTATCTTTCAACTGGAAAGACAAAACAAGAAAGTATCACTTTTTAGAAACTTGTGAGTTTTCTGCATGATAATAATTAGCGTTTCCTCTCTTTATTATCTGCACATCTTTCTAGTAAAATATATGGCTCTTTGTCTGCGTGGGTTCACATGATGGAGTAGTTATTATGTCTGCCGACTGCTAGTCCAGTTTGAACATTTGATATTTTTTACAGTAGATACAGTTTACTTATAGACAACGTCATTTTCTTTGACTTATTTTAGCACTGCATCCTGCGGTTGATATAATGCAGTTTGAAGCAATTTTGTTGGTTTTTGGAAAATATCTACCCCAAAGAGTTTATTATTCTCGCGGTAATTTCGGAAAAGTCTACACACAGTAGTAAATCCCTCCCAGTTGTTTCAGATGACTCCGTATAACTTGATTTGTGGGTCTTTGCATTTAGATGAAGTCATTTACATATTCATTTTTCCGGAGATTGTCAGATGTTTCTCCCCCTTTCCTACAACAGAAGCAACGTAGGTTATATTAGCTGTCATGAAAGACCTGTGTATACGTCAATTTACTGCACTGTAGCATTCTTTCTGTTATCAAAACAATATTTGTTGTATGTAGGTTGACCTTTGGTATAATTGTGTTTCATATTTTTCTGTGCTTATTCTCTCAGCTATGACATCAAAGAATGGAACTTTTACCCTTGAATTCTCTTATCTTGTAAATTCGGTGTCATTGAAAATGTTGTTCAGCGAAGAAATTTCTTTTCAACGACTTCATTTTCAAGCTGTACAGTCGTATTTATATTACAGAAAAAGGTTATTAAGTGGCACTAAATAATTGCTCAGTCAATATACATATATGTGATAAAAGTTATAAGGGGTAGAGTTGAAGTGGATAAATTACAAACATATGAAAGATTATTCTATAACAAAAATGTCTTATAACTTTTATCACATATATGTATATTGACTGAGCAATTATTTAGTGCCACTTAATAACCTTTTTCTGTAATATAAATACGACTGTACAGCTTGAAAATGAAGTCGTTGAAAAGAAATTTCTTCGCTGAACAAAAACTGTGTTTTCACTTATGAATAAATGGGTATTTTTCGAGAAAATGTTGTTGATTTTATTGTATTTGCTTTTTAAATCACTTCTTCAAATTACGATGAAAGTGTAGTCAATGGAAAGTATCACAGAATTTGGTTTGGATTTCAGTAGAATTATGGTCACGCGTCACTGCTGTATGCCTCCAGTGATCAGTCACCGGGTGTTAGTGATACTATCGTTGTCTCCTATAAATGTCCTTGTATCTAACTATTTAGTTTATGGCACTCTACAAGGTACGCATTTTTGAGATCTTTCCAACTAGAATGTTGTTATTTTTGTTTCCGCGGAGGTGTTCATCATTTTTCAGTTTTTGCCCTCTTTAGTTATTAAAAGCTTTTATATAATTGAGTATGATAATGTTTCTATCGTTAATTTCAATCTCCTCGATTCCTTCCAGATATTAATCGGGCAGTTTGATGAAGTGGTCACAGATTTCATGAAATTAACTAGGTTTTTTTCTATAATTTGGTTTGTAAGGGTTTGTTATGTTCTTACGAGTTGATCACAGACTGATATCAGTTAGAGAACCATTGAAAACCAGGGAGTACTGGACAGCTGCTGTTTCATCCTAGTTTGGGAATCATCGCCAGTACGCACCCACCAACAGGGTTCGAACCGAGGACCTTCCGGTTACAAGGCAAGCTGGCTCGTATGCCATTCAGCCACTGGGACCCGATTCAATGGCCAATGCATGAATTCTAACTTCAACCAATTCGTGATTTAGCGCGACCCCCAACCATTGTCGTTGGTGGAACATCCATGCACACACGTGACATCTAATTGGACCTCACTGGTCACAACTTCTCACTAGAACTCCAAGAAACTCCATCCTTAGGAAGTCACTAGTGAGCATTAGATTAATTTTCTATAGTTTGTTACTGCGGTGATTCCCAAACTAGGATGAAACAGCAGCTGTCCAGTACTCCCTGGTTTTCAATGGTTCTCTAACTGATATCAATCCATAATCAACTCGTAAAAATATACTAGGTTTACCAAGAAACCCTTGAATAAGTTGTAAATTCATTTTCCTAAGGGTGAAACAATTAGTCAAGGAAGGATATATGTTATGTGTAATTTGGGTATAGTATAAAAACGGTAAGAAACAGATTTCTCACTGATTTCATTCACCACCGGTCTCACCAGATAATTTGTCCTGATTCGCTGAGTCCACTTGAGGCATTTTGAATACAATTTCTGCATTCTTGAATAATATTTTAACTGAGCCTTTTTCATTTATCCACACTTTTGATCAATTCTTTGGCTTTCATGTTGTAGTCGTCTCTATTTTTATATTACATTCATTCTGCTGATTATTTATACTGAGGATTTTTGATTCCTGAATTCTGAGGTAGCTATAATGCTGTTTCCTTATGATTATTGTTACTTTAGTTTGGTACCTGCATTATTAGGCTTCTTCCTTAAATCTGAATAACTGCATAACACTGATAGGTGTTCTCAGGCTTAGAATACAGAACATTTAAGTCAACAGGATTTTCACGGCGAGTGCTTAATATGCATTCCTTTTTCATTGTTGTATGTTATTTTCTTAAATGAAATTTCTAACGATTAACTCACATCTATCGAGAAGATTTACTTGTCCGAGGTTCGATTTGCTGCCGACGCACACCTGATATCAATGGTCGGCCTGCAAAACTTGGGCTACCGATATCCATGCTGAAAATTCTATACTTGTACCAAAAATACAGTGTGGAATCAAGCTGTAATCAAAAATAAAAAAATAAAATAAATCATTATTCAGACGAGGAATTCTATCGTCAACTCTGTAGTATTTGAAAAATTTAATTCTAAGTCATCCTTTTGTCTAATAGTCTTCGCTTGATGAGAATAAAAAACAAACAACAACAAACAAAGTAACTAGGTATCTTCGTGTAGTCGATTCAGGGGAGTTTGAGACGAAATTCATATCAACATTTTCAGCAGTGGAACAAAATTATGTCAATCAAAAAGGCATAGTAAAAGCGTGTGTATGTGTATATAGAGAGAAATTATTCAACGTTCAGTTTTTTTTTCAATATACATGTCCCATGGAAATTTTATAAAAAGGTATTTTGGTTTTTATGGAAGTACTGGAGCATACAAATATTAATATCGCCCCAGACAATAAAAAAGGGCTTGACAAAATATAGTGGGTTGTAAAAGTAACCAATTTTCAGACAAATACCCTTTCTGTAGAGCCTAAGTATTATTTTTTTGCAAGTCTATCAAATGAGGACTTTGAATGGAATTATTATTTTTAAAATTACTGAGAATTTGAATTGAATCTTCAAGTACAATAAGAATGAAGAATAACAATTGAATGAATATAAACAAAATGAAGAAGTTATTAGATTAGAATTTGTTGGAATGGAACACAGCACTTTAACCGTAAATTTAACTAGTTACCAGTGAGGCTGAAACTCAGTCAAATCCATTTCAGATGACTGTTTCTCAGAGAATTGAAAACAATTTCAAAAAACAAATATAGCAACTCTATTAGTAGAGGAAATCTGGACTGATTCAGTCAGTGTGTACATTTTGATAAATTTTAGAATTTGTAGTTACTGACGCGTTATACAATCAACTCAAGTGAATAATTGCACGTATATCAGATGAATTATGAGATGTCACAACCACTGCTGTATCTTCCAATGTTTGAATGATTCTCAAAGTAAATACATACGATTTCGGCAAGTGTAATAAAAACGTTTTAATTGCTAAACACAAAACTTTGGTAGAATAAATAATAAGATTCCTATATATTCATGACAATTACAACCATACTTTACACTGCTTCATTTCTCCTACATGCAAACAACACAATACTCTGTACGTACCGTGGGACCATCTAACATTTATTATCATTATTATTATATCCTTTAATTCCTAGAGGAATATAGGGCTTCAGTCAAGCATCTCTATTGCCTTCGATTTCCTGCCAACTATTTCACCCCACTCCAAGTCTGCCCACATGCTTTCATCTCCTCTTCACATCACCTCCTCTAAGTCACCCTCGCACTGACGACCAACTCGCCGCCCGCTTCCCTTTCGGGTCCCACTCGAGCAATAGCTTGTCTACTGATGTCACTTGATGGCTCGTTTTCTCAGAGTATGGCCAGCTAATCCATCTCCATTTCTTCCTGCCTATTTGTTTCACAATCGGTTCCTTCTAGGTTGGTTCGCTCATTTCCAGAGATCCGTGTTTCTGATCTTTTCTGGCCATCTGATCTAACATTTACTAGCTTCTATTAGTTAGTAAACATTCTTAGGAAAGATTCAGTGGAGGCAAATTTATTTCCATATGAGCCGGTGACTGATGACATCACAGTTTGCGGTGTTATTATTAATTAATAAGGCTTTTATGAAACTAGTTTTAGGTTGTGTTTTAGTCAAATCTGACATCTATAACAATTTTAATTTATATTATGATGTTTTTGTACATAGTGATCTTCAAAATGTTAAAATGACACTGGCAATATATGAATCTACAAGTCAAGTCATCTGAGGATGTTTTTGTCTTATTTAACATTACAAATCAGTAGTTCTTGTTATTTTGTTATGTGAATTTTGACATAAACTAAACAACGGAAAATTAGTTGACGAATTTCGAAGGACTCATGAACATAAAACACCTACGACTTAATTCACGTATTCCACTTATTCAAGAAACTGGGTTAACTAATGTAAAAGTAGATATAATTATCTATTACATAAGTTTATTTTGTACTGAAAAAAAGTAATAAAGTAGTATTAACTAGATGACGTTCC